TTGTTCTGTCTAAAATGTTTATTTTGGAATAAAGAGGTTAATATAAAAAATATTTTTTGTCCGATTCATCGATTAATCGAAAAAATAATCGGCCAATTCATCGATTTTTAAAATAATCGTTAGTTGCAGCCCTAGTAAACCCTAGTACCTAGTACCCTAAAAGACTTGCAGCTGCAATTGTAGCAAAAGGTGTTTCAAAAAAGTTCAGTTTTTGAATTTTTTTTTTTAAGTATTATTTGTAATTATATATCTTCTTCCTAATTATATGCAATTTTTCATTCACATTAGTCTTTAATGAAATATGTTTACTTGTGTTTGAAATTTTGAAGCGTTGAGGGGTATGAATGCTTTTTCAAGCCACTGTATTTAAAAAAGGCCTTCATACTGTACCACCCATGTTAAGAAACACAGTACGACCACAAACATGTGTTTTTCTTATGGTGAATTCATGTAAGGACAAAGAAAAATAGCATTTTTAAAGTGAAAAGGTTTTACAAATAAAAGTCTAAAAAGTGCTGCTTTCATCACTCTGCTTTGCTCTTATTCATATATCTATAACCCATAAGTAATACAGTTGAGGAGATATTTATCATGGACAATCCATTAAAACACCCTTTTACCGTTTTAGGTCACCAGTTATTTTAAAAGCAGCATTACAAAATTATTTGTACTATGTTGATCAAAATCTATATCTAATGTCAGAAAGTGGTATTTCTTTATACTGTATTTCTGTCATAATTATATGATTTTATGACTGTACCAACTGAATTGTTTAAACCAAGAACAAACAAATTAAACCATTCATTGCTTTTAACTATTTATGTTGACATAAGCTGACCCAGACATCCTGAGCACGATGAGTGGTTGAAACATTTTCCCCAATTCTAAACAATTTAATCTGTTGTTTTAATCTGTTGTTTTTTTGTTAGTTTTTTTCATTTTTGCCAAATAATGTTTCAACAGTTTTGAACTGTTGGGCAATAGTATGGCAAAAAATAAAAAAATAAAAAAACAGGACTTGTTGACCATTATTGTAATTATTTATGATTATTATGAATTGCAATGGGCTTTTATTAGATATTTAAACAAAATGTCAAAATCAACAGCAAGAGTACCATACTCTAGGAAAAAAATGTATCTTCTTTACCATAAGAGGTATTATTATGTTATTTATTTCAGCAGAGACCTTCCCCATGTCCAAACAATATTATGCTTCTGAATATATCAAATCTACACTAAGTTTAGCTCCACTGCAAACTTCTATGTCCTTCTGATTTACCCTTCTATTAGCACAGCTACACTTTGCTGTTGTGTAGAGCCCTGAAGTACACAATGATGCATCCCTAGATGATACTGTAAAAGCCAGTTCTAACTGAGGTCAGACCCATTCTGTGGAATTCTAAACAGTCCGTTTCACGAAGCAGATTTACAGAAACTCTAAGTTTGTTAACTGTGAAATACGGGAAACTCTGAGTTTTCTGTTTCACTAAGAGAGTTTACTCAACCTCTGTGTCTAATACCATAGGAACCTCCTAACTGGAGATAACCTGCTCAGGTTTTCCTCAATAAACTCAGAGTGTCCTCTGTCTCTGCCCTCCCTAAAGCCAATCACACTGTTTTCTTTTCCGATTTAGTTTGGAGAATTTAGATTTTGTTCTGACAATAAAAACACAATCTTGGCATGTCATTTTAATGAGGATTCAATCAATGAAGGAGCAGCATTAATTCACAGATAATGAAATATTCACTGGAAGAGGGTTCTCAGATCACATAGCATTTCATATTCAGAAAGTTATCTCTATGAGCGCCACAATTTCAGCTCACAATCCATCTCATACATTCAAGACTTTATTCGTCCTCACATTTGCAGCATTACAGTTATTTTAATGTGTGTGCTAGCAGCATTATAGAAAAGGACAATGAAGTCAAAAAGCCAAAGTTTTTAGTGTGTAATGAAGGATGCAATCAAAATTAGGAGGAACCCCTCGAGATGATGCACAGGTCCTACCCGTATGAAAGTTTTTTATACTTCATCTTTGCCTGTCAGCTGTGATACACTACAATTCAAGCAGTAAACTAGATTTCCCCCATAATTTTATGTGGTTACAACAGATTATGGCCAGCTATTTGGACATTTATTAGATTCTATTTATTGCTTAAATGTCAAATATGTATTCAGTCAAGCTGCAAAATGTGTAAATAGCAATTAAAAATGTTTAAATGTTGACATTTTTTCAATTCAGTTTTTGTTTGCAAAAATGTCATTTAGAAGATCTATTATTATAGTTCCAACTAGCACTGTGACTTGACCTATTTTAGTGATCTACAAATTGAATAGATAAGAGAATTATGCCATCAATAAATTTCAAAACCTGCCAAGACTTAATGTGAGAAATGGAGTCTAGCTGGAAGTTCAACTGAAGAAACTCATTGTTTTTTATACATCCACCTGCGACACAGCCAATCAGCTTTGAACCACACCTCCATGAAAGCCAATCAGCATCCAAAGCTCATCTTAAAAGGCCTCTGATACATCTGTCCCTGTGCGCAGGCAACAGATGCGCTGTGAATTTATTCAGATGACACCGTTTCAACCCACCTCCAGCCCCTCCTCCACCATCGTAGCTAAAGCTTCATCAGAGTGTCATTCCTCCGGACTCTTAGGCTACGT